TTGTACAAATTCCACCAAACCACAGAAGATATTCGTCTGTTGCCTGAATTGTTTTCGTAATATAGGGAACGTGGCCATCGACACTTTAACAAAACTTACCTTGACTTGGGTCTTGTTTATCTCTTGTCACAATCTGGAAACTGTTGAACAAATTGCCCGTCGTCCAGTTTAAGACGTTAGTTATTTTATTATTTATTCATTCAGTTTTGTAAGGTGGAGTTTTGTGAGGTTTATTATTTTTTTGCGACGTTCTTTGTTTGAGAGATTTCAGTTTATTTGATTTACGTTTTTACGGTAGCTCTGAGCGGGACTCGACCCCACTGTCTTTTCAAGCTAATTTTGTTTTATTTTGATGGCACGCTTGTGTACCATGCCACGACGTTGGTCGTTAAGTGGTGTTCATTTTTCTAACTACTCCAGTGTTCCGATGAGTTGAACGGAAAAGCCAAAACGATTGCTGGACTGTTGGCTACACCGTAATATGGAACCACTTCCCCGTGTTATTGTGATTTTGAGAGTGTTTAATGATGTCTTCCTCACCCGTCACGCCATGACCCAGTTTCAACCACACGGCCATTTTGCAACATAGTTCGTGACCCTCGGCGTCACCCGACTGACTATATGAGCGTTCTGTTCAACTGTTAAGCTAGGATTTATTACCGTTATTATCATTATATTGTCACGTGATTTGTTTTACCTTATGTGTAATGTCTTAAGTATCTTTATTGTAATTTGTATATACCAATTCGTATATACCGAGGAAACGACCCCGATTGAAGGTCATGTATTTTATGACGTCACCAATTCGTGTGTACCGGTAGGTACTGCTTCTAGATCTGTGCCGACATTTTTTTTAGTCACAAATATTTTGTTTTCAATATTCACAAATACAAGAATTTAATATTTTCTCATATGAATATGACTCACACGTGAAGTCTTTCATTATTAATTATTAAATTATATTACACAATTACAGGTACTTCAGTTGATTGATCAGAAATACACTGAACATATTTGCATGGTTGAAAATAAATAAAAAGAGTAAAAAGGGTACTTTTTCCTATTCATTTTTTCGATAAAAATTGTCCCACTTTTCATTCACTCACAAGCTCCCTGCTGTGACACAATTGAGGCATCAGAAGTCAATGACCCCATCATCAGGTAAACATTGATTTCCATATTGGCGTCATACGTATTTATGAATGAAAATATTCAAATCACAGTGGTATTCTTTTATCAAACGGTGTATTACAAAACAATCAATTCTTCTGTTAATGAAGAATACTTTACGACTGAACTTTAAGTTTAAACGTTACCTTCAGGGCAAGAAATTTGATGAACTTCTCTAAGTCCTTCTTGTCTTGTTGTGACTGTGGGGTTATTTTTGTTTCTGTAGACATTCTGAGCAGAAAAGTATGTTTCATAGTATGAAAATACAACGACTTGTGTTGTTCTTTTGATCCATGATGAGTAAACCTGGCGAATGAGTAACAAAGTGTCAGTTTGGGTTGGATTTAGTCACATCTCCAAACACATAAGCACTGCATCGGACATTTTGTTTTGACATGACGTCATCCCATCTAAGAGTATCCCAGAATGCAATACAAATGCTTTGTTTTCAGAAATATATTACGTAGAATTTTATAGGCGATATCGGGTCTTGCATGAATCATTTGGTATATTTGTATATCATACCGCTTTTTTGCGATACCAGTTGAAATTCTTTTCATTCATAGTAATCAAAACAGCTTTTCCAAGGTTAATGAAAATTAGACATGCGCAGTACATACATGAGCGGCCATTTTGAACTCAATATCAACAGAAAATGCGACATAGATCGCAAAAAAAACTTTCAAGTATGGATTCACAACCATACTGCTATAAATAATTTTAATTATTGGCTTTTATTATAATTTTTAAAATGAGTGTCTCAAGTGACAGCATTTTACATAACCTTCTCAGGCGAGAAGTCGGTCTTTTTAGTGGAAAGGAGCAAGGATTTTTCCACCGAGTTGTCGAAGACAAAGCTGCAATCTTCTCAACCGAAAACACAGTACGTATAGACTTTGGTCATATTTATTGTCTCGCGTTTATATAATCTTCGGATTTTCACCATTATCAGTGTCGAGTTGTTGTAATGTGTCGAATAAACGTTCCAAGTATGTCGCGTATAGTAGTTACCTGGTAAACTATATTCTCTTCGATGACGTCACTTCTCGGGCCAGCTGGCGAATTCTGTTACATACAGTCATTGCCACATAGTGCAGACGTCACATATTTTTCCTTTACGTATATCATTCATTACGATTTCGAATGCTTGTTATATCCAAGCAAATCCCTGCACACGAGCAATTCATGACAAGTATTTTGTGATTGAAATTTTACCAAAGCAGAGCTCGAACTTTTTTTATTCTTGATACCCTTCAATATTTCCTATGTTATTCCTATACAGTGGTTTCGGAAAAGCTGTTTAAACATAGACCTTAGGTCTATGGTTTAAACAATTTATAAGTAGTTTGTAACACATTTATTCATTCAATTGAGACACCTGGATTGGCTATAATAATTTGTGCAGTGTCCCACGATGTGCCGCAATCAGATTCAACAACATTTTGGTCAATAAGCCAGTGTCAATTGATCGACAGCTACTTTAGAACACACTTCCCATTGAACACATGCTGACTGGGTCGTCCCTTTCAGGGGCATGATGACATGGTGACATCACAGCGATCGTTGTGACTGATCGTTTTTAAATTTATAATTGTTTCATGTTTATAAACCGTGTCTGAATTTGCGCTTTATCAAACACTTGTCTTTGTTTATTTTTCAGCCATGTTACCTTGGATGTCATCCGAGGGCTACGTTCTTGATGTCCTTCAGTCCAGATGGCACATTGATGGCATCAAGTCATGGTGATCACAACATTCACATTACTGATGTACGTACAGGTGAACATGTGCAATCCTTGATGGGTCATCCAAGAACACCGTGGTGTGTAAGCTTCCATCCCACTTCCAATGAGATCTTGGCATCAGGCTGTCTTGGTGGTGAGGTTAGAATATGGGATTTACATGTAAGTTGGTGTCAGCTATTGCTATGGGAAAGTATATTTGTCTTGCTCATTTTTTTGCCAGGAAAACCATTTGTCGTTTGAGACAATATAATTTATTTATGGCAGTGAGTGTTTCCTCTACTACTTGCATAAACAATTGATTATCATTCTTTTTATCAAAAGTTGACTTAAATTGTTATCATCACCACACATACATGTACAACTGAATAGTATTTACTGTAAACCATTTAATTAATTTTTGCTGCTTGGTATTTTAACAAATTGTTTGTACGTGTCAGACACTGACATTTCGTTTTGCGGGACCGCCAGAGATATTTTCACTGTTACAAAATTTTTCGAAACAGCTTGAGTAGTGACAATTAGAGAAATTGTGATTTCAGTTATGTTGAAATATTTAAATAATCATGTTGTCTGTCACTGGTAGCATAGTGGTTGTCGCATCGGTAGACCCATGGAAGGTACTAACGGAAGGAGCCACGACGCTATTGTTTTAGCTTTACCCCATGATCGTTTGTCATTGTTTGTTCACAAACATTGGTTCTCGTTAGCTCTTAGCACCTTCGTACAATGGGTTATGCTAATCTTGAGCATTCGATAATATTCGGAGCATGTTCGGAAGCGATAGTCGAACCTCACATGTACAATATTGAAAATGGCGTCTAGTTTGAATGCT